AAACGAAAGACCCGAGTTCAAATACTGGCGAGGACATAACAGCAGCAACAATTTTTATTCATTAATTTGAGATTAATTCAAAAATTATTTCACATTAGTGTAAAACAAGAAACTTTCTTCTTTTCTATACCAAAATTTTATATGTGTATTTGAATAAAATAATTCGAAGTGGTCTGTATTCTGTCGAAACTGCCAGACGCGGATCGCGATTTCGATCTTTTTGGATCTCATCAGCGCGTCGCAGGCAGCTCCGACAGAACACAGACCAACCTTTACCTGCTGTCTTAACAGCGCGTTTTAGAAAATACTACAAATGGCGTGGTGAGCGCCATCTGTAGTACGATGCTACATTTGAGGATTACATATACTCCAACAAGGTCCATTTAAAATTATGGATATCTACTAGTTGAAACGAATCCCGGCGTAGCTCACCTCAACGTGATAGGCACGTTACCATAATCGAACAAAATAATTATGTTATGATAAAAATGTAGCATCGTACTACAGATGGCGCTCACCACGCCATTTGTAGTGTATTTGAATGTTTAATTTTGCAATGACAATAACGTAAAGAACGTAGACCTCATTTAATTGCTTTTCGTTGTTTGGATATACATCATTTAATGAAAGTTCATTATGATATGCTCCCTTCGTAACATCAATAAATCTCTGAGTACAGCTTCCGCTTTTATATTTTTGGATCCACCGAAAATTTTACGTTAAACGTGCAAATAAAACTTCAGCATTCATTTGAGCGTCTGCAGGAATTTCATTTCCTTTCGCAACGATTTACCGGGTCTGTACCTATCCTCCGAAATTACATTTTTCGTCCTGTCTTCTTTTTGGATTTTCAAATATTGAAGTTAACTTAATAAATTGTTAGACAAATTAGGAGAAGCAGTGGTAAAGACTTAAAACGAAGAATAGCTCGGGGTCAAGTTACTTTGTTAAGAAAAAATCAGAACTATCACGAATGGTTAATTCAGAAATTCGAAAAATACTGTTAAAAGTGTATTCTTGGAGCACCGCGAAATTTCTAAAAATACTATTAAACGAGCAGATTAATAAATCTAGATATTATTAAATTTAAAAATCTTAACTTGTGGTAGGCGTTCTACGCATTCTACAGGCCTAACGCTCGAAGCTTGTGGAAATTTTAAAATGGTGCGAATGCGCGGTGGCAAAAGTAAGCAGTTGAAGTTATATCAATTGCAGCCCACTTTGACTTTATTATTCCTATCAGGGGCGTAGATTAAATATTTAAAAGCAGGGATCAGTTCATAAAATTAAGTTGAAAAAATTAATTTATTAAGTTAATTTTCTTGTTGCAGGTATTTAAAGTTTATATAAAAAATAAATAGGCGCAATAATTTAGTTTAACTTGATTTATTTAAATGTTATGTTAGATAATGAGCAAGTAATTGACATACAAACAGAAGAACTAATTGGTGATGTCGGTGACAGTGATATTGATTCCGACGAGGACAGTGAAAGTGTAAAGTAACTACAAAACAAACAAAAGCATTAGGTTCATTTTTTTTGGTAAGATGTTTCTGTATTGTTTCCCAGTACGCTACTGTCCTATCTGTATTATTTGTGTATAGGTTCCATGTGATTCTCCCAAATAAACCATAAATGGACCAGAACCTGCGCGACTACTCGCCAGCTTCGTTCGTTCGACCTATATTTTTGGTTAAATAGATTAAATCAATTACAAAAGTTCTCCATCTTCATTCCAAAATGAATAACATGCTTAAAAATATGCTCCAAGACAAATCACTTTCAGTTTTAAAATGAGTATAATGTCACTGATACTATAAATAAAAAAAAATCAAAGAAAGTTCGAATTTTGATATAGATGACAATTTTTTGTTAAAACAATCTTTTATTTTGGTGAAAACTTGGTTAATAATATCACCTCCATCATAAATTTTTTGAACGATGGATTTAATTAATTCAAAATTCGAAATATTTGTTTTTTTAAAAACAAATAGTCAAAATTAGGTTAGATAAGAGAAGAAGTTTAAATTTTACGTACAAATTGTGACATTTTTAAATTAATTTCCGACCTCCTAAAATGTTTTTAATCGTTAAAGTGAAATTAGACTTTTACATGTTCCTTCGTAGATACAAAATGTGTGGGTACTTCCAATTAGCAGATTTTGCAAAGTGATGTTCAATAACTATCTAAAATGACGCAGAAAATGAAAGGAAACTAACAAATAAAAGGAGAATGTCACGGAAATCCAACCACACTATTTGTTCTACAAATATTTGATTTGTTGAAAGTGCCATCAGGAGGGTCTAATTGGACCAGTTCGCACCACGTACATATATATTGTCCGCAATGGTCGTCAATTTTCTATCGCTGTAGAGAAACGACTTAATTGAAGGAAGAGGCCATCAATTTTAGTTTAGTGTCGTTCTAATCCTCTAATCATTTAACAGTTACGAAATTAGTTTAATTGCATCTTAAAATCTAATAAATCGTATAGAAGCCAATAACAAAATTATTACCTATAAAACTTTCCTTCTGAGAAAAGTTGTATCTGCTTTTAGATATTTTTTTTATGACGTATACTTTTAGATACTTCCATGTTTTGTGCTATTGGTTTTTGATTGAGTAGATACTTATTTGTTGTACTAAAAGAAGGTTATCTACCATAAAACCTTTAAAAAGTCCGAAACTAGGTCGACCATATTCGTCTTACATTATTTTCTAATTCTTTTGGGAATTCATTTCTAGTAACTTAAACGAAAAGGGACTAAAAGTTTATTTTTTGCAAGTAAGTTTTTATAAATCATGATCGAAAGAGCTTCTTATAGCAGCTTATAGTCTAAGAGCTGTTGAACCTTGAATCTTCAGCTTCAAAAATTTATCAAAATAACTCTTTACGTCTAGTCAAACAGAACGCTCTCTGAAACAGATGAGTTGTATTTTATTGTTACGGTATTTTCTTGTGATTGACGTTTTGGCATGTCATTTTTAAAAAAGCCAACCATTTTTGACACTACCGAAACTCCGCCAACAGTTACTGAAAAGCTTTAGTCAATATTGATATAGCCTCTCACAATAATAATTTCAAATGTAAAATATTCATTGATGCTGTTAGTGTATTAATTGCTGTTTATTCAAACAAAGTATTCAACTGTACTAATTACCTAGAGTTTACGAAATTATTACCTATATTCAGAAAGTATTAATAAAATAGGTTTAAATTATTGAGCAGTTGTTTCAATAAATAGATTCAGGAGCAATTATTACTGGTTCAGTATATAGAGTTCATATAGTACCAGATCGTAAAACTTTCAACTGTACTAATTACCTAGAGTTTACGAAATTATTACCTATATTCAGAAAGTATTAATAAAATAGGTTTAAATTATTGAGCAGTTGTTTCAATAAATAGATTCAGGAGCAATTATTACTGGTTCAGTATATAGAGTTCATATAGTACCAGATCGTAAAACTTTCAACTGTACTAATTACCTAGAGTTTACGAAATTATTACCTATATTCAGAAAGTATTAATAAAACAGGTTTAAATTATTTCAAATATTTTGACAATAATACAAAAAAGCCGTAATTTCACAATCAGTTTTTAGACAGGAAGACAGTTGTTTCGATAAATAGACACAGGAGCAATCATTACTTCATTACAACCTTGCTGCTTCATTACATAAAGTTCATATAGTACCCTATCCTAGTTGTGAATGTGGTCACGAGACTGAGGACATAAATCATGTAGTGTGGCAATGTCCTAAATATAATCTTCATAGGAAAAACTTCTTAAAGAGCCTTGATAAATTAAAGTTATTCCTACCGCTGAATGTAGAATCCTTTATTTCTGGACCAAATATAAAAGCTAGTATAAAATTAATCCAATTTTTAACTTAAATATTTAAACTCTGCATCGTTACATGATATGTATTATTGTTTAAACTTTGTACCGTTTTGTATTGTGTTTATATAGTGACCCAAAAATTACGCAATATTCTCCTTGCCGCCAAATTGTGACTTTAATCGAAAAATTTTTCAAACAAAACTTGTTCCCTATTTTAATACAAGATCGTCTATGTATCTCTATATCCGAATTTGATTGACTGTAGTGTTCAGAAATAAAAAATAAGATTTTCTTTAAATGACAGGCATGTGAAATATGACTCCAATAGAAAAAAGTATAGGAAAAGGCGAGCGGAACCAAAAACCGCAGCGATTTTTTGCATAGCCCTATATTATGGCATTCTAAAAAACTTTGTTCTATAAATTTTTTCGATTGGAGTCATATTTCACATGGATGCCATTTAAACGAAACCTTCTTTTTAGTATTTTCAAACACTCCGTATAGTAAATCAAATTTAGAAAATACTTAAAACAGGGGGCAAGTTTTATTTGAGAAATGTTTCAATTAAACTTACAGTTTGACTGCAATGGGCATATTGCGGACGTTTTGGGTCACCCTGTATAGTGTATGCCTAATGGCCTTTGTCTAAATAGCTTAAATAAAAATAGAAAAATAAATAAATGTATTCCATACGTTAATTCAACGCCATAACTTAAAATATTAAAAACGCGATTTATCTTTAGTAAAGAAATTGTGGTTTCATCTATTCATCTCATTAACTAAATTAATTTTCATTGGTAACGGTTGATGGAATTTTAAGTGTCAAAAAATTTTTGAAGGTATAAAAGTGTCTCAAAAATAACATACTAAAGCCGTCAATCCTAAGAAAATACCGTAATAGAAAAATAAAATCCACCCCTTTCAAAGTGAGCAGTTGTTATAGCAGGGGCAGACAATAAAACCGTTTTGCATTTTGTTTGAGTAGACTTAAAAGAGGGTTATTTTGATATGGACCTTAAGGAAATAGCTACTGACGATTCAAGCTCCAACAGCTCATAAACTCTCTTTTAGGAAGCATGTTGGAAATTCGGCATCAACAAGATTGTTCGATGCAAAAAATTGTCATTTCTTATTTTCTTTCTTTTTTTATTTCAGCTGCCGATTACCTGACGACGTTAGTACTTGCAATAATTACGACTTTTTAGAGGACCTATACGATACTGTGTGTTGTGAAAAAGGTACGTATCTTTTTATTTTTTAAATAGTTATGCTGCTTTATCGTAACTAGGGAAACATCTACTACTTTTTCATTATATTTGTAATGTATGTTCATTCTATTATCAAAATAACATATCGTTTTCGAGGTTTAGATTAAATTTAATGTATACTATTTGAGAAGCGCTTTCCTTCACCATTACCCAAGATATTAATTGATTTTATTATTTTATTTTATCGCCGACAGCAATTCTTACACTTTCAATCATATACTCATACAATAGTCAATTATATTTTTAAACATCTGCTTTTACCTAAAATACTGACATTAATAATTAAAGTGGAAGATTTTAAAATCTTTTTATTCTTATGTACCTATAAAAAGGAATCTTATTTAGTTGGTTGTTGTGTAATAATTTTTACATATCTAGATTCTTAATTTTGCCAATAAATCAACAATAGTTCAGGAGTGAACTTTTTATTTATTACAGTGTGACGTTTCGACCGGCAGTTTCGGTCATCATCACATATATCAATTGTTTAGATTTGATGTTAACACAGTGACTTTTGTTCGTTTTTTTTTTAGCCTGATGATGACCGAAACTGATGGTCGAAACGTCGCACTGTAATAAATAAAAAGTTCACTCCTGAACTATTATTGTTTTATTGGCAAAATTATAGTCTTGAAATGTAAAAATTCTTTTTATTCTTGCCTAACTTTAAAATATTTCAGCATTGTATGGTAAGTTTAAAATTAAAAAACGGTATGGTACTATTCCGCCTCGCAGTCAACACTGACGCTATGTCGTAGCTAAAAGCGACATTCGCGATGCATCAACTGCTCCACAAAATAATGCAATAGTTGCGACAACGCCCAAGGTTAATTCGATAAAAGCGGTACGTCTCCATGCCTTTGATAGAAATTCACAATCTTAACGGATAATGTTTTGATAAAACTGAAAATTTTAAAGAAAAATAACGAGAAGAGTCAAAGTAAACATGAATTTTATAGAATTAGACCGCATTTTGGAGAATTTCATCATTTGTATCCGCATTTACGGGTGGATGAAAATGCCTTTCGCCAATATACCAGAATGACTCTAAATTGGAATTAATGAAGCTACATTGAGAAAAAACAAAATAAAAGACTGGCTGGGTAAAAGGATTTTATCAGAGACATAAAATAACACTTCGGCGGAATGATAAAATTCAGGAAGATAGGTTTTATAAGAACCTAAGGATCTTGATGGAAAAAAGACAATACCTACCAATTTCCATTTACAACATGGACGAAGCTGGATTGTCTACCTAGTGCCTAATAAACTACCCTAAGTATTAACCAAAAAAGGAAAGAAACTCAAAAGTAGCAAGTGCGGATCGGGGCAGTTAATAACAGCGATTTTCTGTATGAGTGCTACCGGTACATGCATTCCTCTTACTTTGATATTTCGCAGAAAAACGATTGAAGGTGAACTATAACCTGCTGGTACGTTAAAATTGATATCATATACTGGATTTATTAACGCTGAACTGTTTTGTCAGTGGATTGTGCACTTTAAAAATTACAGCAAACCAAGTGCACCAGATCCAGTCCTTTTAGTTCTTGATAATCATAGCTCTCCTCGTGACCTATAGGCAATTAAATATTACAGAGAAAAACATATCGATATATTGACATTATCACCCCATGCAAGTCATAAAATGCAACCCCTTTATTTGGGCTATTTTGGCCCTCCAGAAGGACCATTAGATGATAAACATCCAGGAAAAGTTATAACTCAAATGGAAGCTTCCGGATTATTTAACGCTGCATACGTTAAGGTCTCAAATATCCAAAAGGCAGAAAATGCATTTAACGCTTCCGGCATTTATCCTCTCAACCCAGATTTGTTTCAATATGATAATTTTCTCCCATCCATTGTAGCAGACAGATCCATCAAAACCAATTCGTGTCCCAAAAGGATTGAAGAGCTTGTACAATTCGACGCACTTACTACAGATAATGAGCAGCCTACCGAGAAAATACACGAATATCGGCCAGTTTCACAGCCCGCAACACCACCTCTATTCCTTGGCATCGTCTATCTTTACATAATATGCGATTGTTAACAATGCGGAAGTAGATAAACAAGTCAATTTAAATCTTTCAATGTCAAATCTATTACCCTTACCCAAATTGCAGGAAAAACCGACACAAAATAAACGCAAATCCGGAATTTCGGAAGTACTGTCCAGTACTCCTTTCAAGGATCATTGGCAGAAGAGAAAAAGAAGAAAGAAGAGAAAAGAAAAGATAGGAAACGCGCTGCGGTAGCTAAAAGGAAATTGACCGAATCCGAAACATTAAAAAAGGAAATTGAAAAATAAAAAGAAAGTAAAAGTAGACGACGACGTGAACTACTCAGGATATGGAGATTTATATTCAAGATCTCCAGAAGACTGGATTATGTGTTTTCAGTGCGTAATAAGTGGTGGCATGAATCTTGTACAAATAGTACAGTAGTAGTCCAGCCAAATGAGGGAAATGGCTGAAGGGTACCTTGTATTGAAGAAAATGATTGAAACAGGGGTCATTTTATCGAAAATTTCGTGAAGAATACGAATATGTAAATGAAAATTATTTGCCTGGCATAGGGGGGGGGATAAAATCCTCAAAAACAGTTGCAAATTCGATTATCTCGCGAAATATAAAAGATATGGAAAAATAGTTTCATTAAAAGTTTTTCACAATGCCATTTTGCAAAAAAAGTATTGATGACTTGTTTTATATCTCTCACAGAACAAAAGTTCTGCGCGCCCAATGACAGAGGCCTCAAAATTCGTAGAAATTTTTAAAAAATTCAAAATACTTCTTAGGTTTTCACGGCCGGCGTATATCGATGCGGTGTTATCTCCCGGGCGTTTTGGCCGTAGTCCGTGGAATTTTACTTTTCCAAACGTTTCGCCGTTCTTTGCTGACGGCATCTTCAGTGGTGACTGAGCAGGTGCTGAGTCGTAACTGATACGACCAGTAGAATTTTCTTTTTCCACTACATACTAGATAAGATAGTTTAACCGATTAAGATAAGTTACGAATCGATTAAATTATCAGTTTTAAATTTTTAATAANAATTTTTTTAATAAATTAAATATTTATTTATAAAAAATAGTGTTCATTTTAGTTGTCACTGAATGAATCTATTTGAAGTTTGTTTAGTGTTTATTTTACAAACAAAACTCTATATAATATATACTATGCTATAGGTACTTCGGGGCGAATTGCTCCAATCGATTTTTAATGATTTTCAGCTGGCGGAATTGTACTTTGCCTCTAAAAAACAAGATATCAAAGTCTTCTTGTGTTGAAAACCTGATTCAAAAGTGTCAAACATTGATTATATTCTAATGTTATTACATTATTATGTTTTTTTTGTACAAACAATTAACGCCTTCATTTCCGAACTGTATTTTCAGTGACATACAGTAATTGTAATCCTCTACGTGCATTAAATTCCATGTTATAGAATAGACACATTTGATTATAGCTTTGCAAAGATATTTATACGAAATCATTCTCTTTCAGAAATAAACGAAATTGAATTTCTCGAGCAACTAGGTCACGAATTAATAGCGACTTCATCGACGGAGAAACTGAAAAGGGCATTCAAATGTTTAGGAAGTAATTTAAAGGAGTTCCTCAGCACGCTAGACAGCGTACACGACGTTATCAACCTTCAACAGAATATCGAAGAAATGGATCACGAGGCCGTCTTCGTTTGTACAAAGAAGAGCGACCACCTGCAGTTCGACTTTACAACAGACAGGGTGGCGGTAGCGTATTTGTTGAGTGGTACCTTGAAAGCCATTGCGCACATGTTTTATTCTACAGACGTAGAAATTACTTTCGAACATGACAAGAACGACCCAAGACATTTTAGGTAAATGTAAATATAGTACATATTATATAAGACTGAAAGATTTTATTAAATTGAACAATTGACGATCAGTAAGGCAATAGTACTGGTAATGGTCCGTTCTGAACCAGAACAATATTGTTGAGTTAGCAAATAAATTGGTGAAAGTACCCATCTTGTGAGACACCTTGAATTTTTGTAGGGTTAAATTCAATGCATTAGTGAATTAATTTTAGCCACTTCATGTAACCTCAAATTAATGAGGAGAGTACTGATGCTTAAAACCAGGAATCCGGGTTCGATTCCCGGCGAGGGAGTGACAGCAACAAAACTTTTCCTTATTAACTTGAGGTTATCCATAGTCGGCAAAGTTAATTCAAAAAAATAATTCACTAATGTATCCATCTTGTGTTTCTTTTAAGTGAATTGATTATTTTTATAATAATAATCGATTATTGCGAATATTTCGATTAATCTAAATAGTTGATTAATCGAAATAATCGCTTACTTAAATTACCCCTATATACACGATTAAGAAAATTTATAAACATTTACCTATAGTTTATATATCGCCATCTAGTGGGTATTTGCTGCTATAATAAACGTTCTTATCAATGAAATTAATCATTAGAAAAAAAAATTGAAGATAATATCCTTATTACATCTTGTACATAAGGTTGATCAACAATCTCTTTAAAAGAAATGCACACTTATACGTAAGGAAATTTACAAAATATTTGGCTTTATTGATTAACAGAAATAATTACTTACTCAAATTACTCGTCTGTCTTAGTCAAGTGAAAATCGACCACAATTAGGGAATGCAGAACGGGGATACTGCGGGATTCCGCATGCAATATGCGGGACTAATTTCGTTCGTATTTACGGAGTTGAGGAAAAATCTGATTGTCGGCGGAATGAGGGTATTTGAAGCAAGACGAATTTAACTGTATACAGCGGGATGAATTTTATGCCCAAAAAAGTTTTGAATTTTTTGCCAGTTTAAACTTAAAATTATAACGCAACGCAATATCATTATTTTTCTAATTTTTTATTATTTCTACTAGTCTGGAGTCATTTATCAGATTAAACAAGTAATACTTTAACTTAACTTTTAATTTTAATGTTTAGTTTTTCATAATAATAATGTTTAATTTTCTTTGAAAAATGTAATTAAGATTTGATAACTAAAATTTCTTTAATGCCAGTTAAAACCTTTCAAATTTTTAAATGTAGCCCTAGTTTACGATTTAATTGCAGTCTTATAGCATCCTTCAGGATATCCCCTGGATTGAAATAAACTTACGGGATTGCATTCATTAACCACAATATTGCTGCTGTAGGATAGAACGATTATAAAAAATTAACGAACGATTATTCCGATTAATCTATTATTTTTAAACACTGAAAATAATCTATTAATAGCTAATCGTTAACGTTTTCTTAGTTCACTATTATAACTGAAGAATCACAGGTAAGATTAAGGGCAAAACCAGTTTTATTTATCATAACCAACATCTGACATTTTACCTTTTA